GCCGGGGGGGGGAGGGCCCCCGAGAGGGGGCTGCCGCCCTGGAGAGGGGGGGTGCCCAGGGGCCGAGCGTGGGCACCGCCTGTGAGCCGGGCCACGCGGTAGCAGAGACCGGCTGGGGGCGCCGTGCAGAGCGATGCCAGAGACCAAGGCGGCGCACACGGCGCCAGCGGGGACATGTACTTAAAAGAAGCACCCAGGATCTTTTCCAGGGGGATAAGGCAACGCCACATTTATTGATCACAGAATAATCAACACTTACCAGTGCATATGAGGTACAGGTAGAGGTACAGGTAGAGGTACAGGTAGAGGTACAGGTATAGATACAGGTAGAGATACGGGTACAGGTATAGGTACAGGTACAGGTAGAGATACGGGTACAGGTAGAGGTACAGGTAGAGATACAGGTACAGGTAGAGATACAGGTAGAGATACAGGTATAGATACAGGTAGAGGTACAGGTAGAGATACAGGTAGAGGTACAGGTAGAGATACAGGTAGAGGTACAGGTAGAGATACAGGTAGAGGTACAGGTAGAGATACAGGTAGAGGTACAGGTAGAGATACAGGTAGAGGTACAGGTAGAGATACAGGTAGAGGTACAGGTAGAGATACAGGTAGAGGTACAGGTAGAGATACAGGTAGAGGTACAGGTAGAGATACAGGTAGAGGTACAGGTACAGGTACAGGTAGAGGTAGAGATACAGGTACAGGTAGAGATACAGGTATAGATACAGGTAGATGTGTCACACACACACACTCCATCTTGCTGCTGTTACCACCGAGTTGCCCCTTCAGGGCACTGGCCAGGTGAGTTAGATGGGGGAGGGGTGGCCGGGCCGGGGGTGACAAGAGGAGACCCGGGGCCCTCTGCGGGGCACCTCCCTTTTCCAGTAGCTCCCCTCCTGCAAATCTCCCCGGATTCCAGCCGTGGGTCTGTGTCCAGGCCCTTTGTGCTGCAGGGGCGGTTCCACAGGAGGTGCCGGCTTCTAATCCCCAAGGCCCTTCTTGAGCCCGCTTGACACCTTGGGGCTGGCTCCCACCCCCTTCAGCTGGGGCAGCTGCCTGGAGGGGCTGGCTCCCAAGTCTTACCCATTCACACCTCGTTCATTCAACTGGGCAGTTGATTGGGGGGGGCAGATCTGATTCTGCTCCCTGCAAAAGACGTGTACCTCTCACTAGCCGCTCAGTTTGCTACGCAGGGCTCTCTGGAGAGGTGCAGTGTCCGGCCATATGAAGTAAGATTTAATACACAGATTTATCTACAGACGTGGCCTGTGAGCCGGGCCACGCGGTAGCAGAGGCCGGCTGGGGGCGCCGTGCAGAGCGATGCCAGAGACCAAGGCGGCGCACACGGCGCCAGCGGGGACACGGCCTGTGCCCAGCTCTTAGGAGCAACCTGGCCCCCCGGGCCGGGCCGGGGCTGAGCGGGGATCCTGAGGCGCAGCCAATAGCCCAGCTGTGGAGGAGCAGCTGGACACACCGGCGCCCGGGGAGCCGGGCAGCACCCTGGAGGCCTGCAGAGGGAGGAGAGACGGGCCAGGGGGCCGGCCCAGGGTCAGTGGGGCGGCGCCCCGAGGGGGCTCTGGGGGAAGCTGGACTCCGAGCGCTTCCCCCGTTTGGAGGGGATGACGTGGGGGCCTGCGAGAGGCTTGTGGTCTGCCCCGGACGGACCCGGCAGACGCTGCGCAGCCCGACCCCCGCTGGGCCCAAGGCCAGAGCCACACTGGCCGGGGCGGACGGAGTCGGGGACTAGGGGCTGTTCACACAGGCCGGGCTGCTGAGGGGGGAGCTGCCGCGGTTCCGGGGCCTGCGCAAGTCCCCTGGTGCCAGCGTGCTGGGGAATAGCCCCACAAGTGGGGGAAGGGGGCCGGGGCCACCACCTCCGAGGCCCTGCACAACCTGGGGGGCGGAGCAGCTGCGGGACATTTGCCCCCCAGACCTCAAGGGGCGGTTGGCCGACCGGCAGCCCAGAGACCGCGCAGGGCGGGGACGCTGGCGGACGAGTTTGTGGCCAGCGGATCGGGGACGGGGAGACCCACAGCAGGGCCCTGAAGGGGAGTCACCCGGAGACCCCTCGAAAGTGGGACTCCAGGGAGCCCAGCCCGGGGGGCAGAGTCCAGGCCAGGACAACCCCCCTTGGGACTCGAGGGACCTGAGATGCAACTTCTGCGGCCAGAAAGGGCCCACGGTGGCGCCGTGCCAGAGGGGAAGGAGATGGAGCCAGGCAGGGCCCCAGGAGCTGGAAGCGCACCCGGCCGGCCCAGGGGGAGGCAGGTACCTGGGCTGCGCCGGGGGAGGAGCCCGGCAGGACCGGCCGGCTGAGGGCGAAGCGCCAGGCCCCCCGCGGCCGGGGGGGTGGGGGACAAGCCCCGGGGAGCCAGCCTCACGTCAGCCCCGTGGGTGATACTGGCGCGGACCCCGACCCAGGCAC